GGGGCTTAACCAAGTTTTTCAGCTCAACAAGAGGAATCAAATCAAAGGTTTTTAGCTTTAATTATTACCATTTTCTGCATCAGGGGACTGCTCATGACACTATATTAACAGTCAAGCTAGAATAGATTGTCCCCAAGTATCGAGCTGGGGGAACAAAGGCAGTTAGCAGTGATTGCCTGTTAAATGGAGTTGCCATTTAAAGCAGCCAAATACTTATGAAGCACCCGGACAGGACAATCCATAGTGGGCATTGATCGGCTTGCCTGGGCAGGCCGGCACGAGGCTCCTCTCTCTTTAATGCCAGCGTCCAGTCGATACCCCCCTCATACTAACAAGAATAAAGTGGGATTTCAGAAACCATTAAGTCCACCCTCCTCACTAATGTAGTTGGACTCTGATGAAATCCCCTTAAAAAGGAGGAGAAATTGCCTTGGGTTATGGGTCAGCACACACTCTCTTCTGGTGAGCAGCATGTGTGTGTGCATATGTGTTTGTGGGTGTGGGTGTTGGGGTCTATGTCTGGATAGAGAAAGATATTGTGTGAGACTCCGGGGAAGGAGTGAGAAAGCGATAGAGAGACAGAAAGAATGAGAACAAAGTATGTAGGCGAAACTAAGTCGAGGCATTGTACTAAAAAGTTCCACCATTCTCTCTATTCCCCCCGTTTCCAGCTCTAAAGGTCATAAAGTAAAGGTCACAGCCATAAATCCGAGACCGCCGCTTATAGATGGACTAGATAACTGCGCTCTCTCAGATCAACCCCTCATTTTCTCCATATTCTTAAGATGCTACCTGAGGAATAACATTGATTACTTTGCTTCACATCTTCTTTTAACTGTCTCTCTGCTTCCCCTTTGATTCCATCTGTTTGTCTTTTCTCTCGCCCTCCGTCCTGTGCTACCTCTTTAACTCTGTGAGTTACCTTTTTCTCTGGGCTGGCTCTCCATAAAACATCGAGCATTATTCCATTTAGCGGTGAGGGGACAGTGTCGACGGTGCTCCGTGGACCCGTACTGTCAGGCAATCTGTGCTGCTCTGTGTTACCCGACAGAGGTTCAGCTGCGGGGCGAACTATTAAGCATTCTTGTTGTGCGGTGTGATACAACTCACCCTGGACCTGCACCCTTGTCTGTTTGCGTCAGTGTCTCAACCATGATCCATGATTCCATTTATCTTTGTGTGATCTGACTAAGCTGTTTGGTTGTTATATTTTTTCTTGGCTTAGGTTGTCGGGGATAGGTTTGATGGAAAAAAAAAAAAAAATCTGGAATTAATACTGTATGCTTGCTGAGTCACTTACTCACTCACACACACACACACACAATCTCAAACACACACACACGCTCACAAAATACATTTATTAGCCACTCTATCATGGCTGTTGCTACAAATACCCAAATGTAAACACACACACACTCTGTATTTTTGACACCACATTAAGGCCTCGCATCAGTGGCCTATGAAATTCACCAATTACAGTACCTCAAAAGTTCTTTACGGCTTTCAGCATTTTCTCCTCGTGTGAAACAGATGTTTACACCGTACATGACTAGAATACCTGAGCAGAGTTATGTGTTTTGTGATTCAACATTAGAAATATGGAGAGGAACACACACACACACACACGCGCATGCACATCCACACGTTCACAGCACAGCCCCGTTTCACCGCTGATGCCACACTAAGGCTCTACGGTACCCCACGACACATCTAGGCTCAATGACAGCTCACCCCCGCTGTGGTGCACCGTCGTGAATGGCAGTGCACTACATGTAGGAAGTTATCATTGAGGCTGACGCCCCTAATCTACGGACAGATAGCACCACAGAGTCTACAGAGCCAAGCCAGGCCAAGAAACCCACAGAATGCAGCAGCTAGCTTCTACCACCACAGGCTAAGAAACAAAACACCAGAGTCAAGATACGGTACCTGCTTTGTCAACCATGCTCCCATGGTCTGCAGTGGGAGAAAACGTGCAGAAGGTAAGAGATGGGGAGAGTATTTTTTTTTTCTTTTCTGTAAATAAATGCAAGCAACATCATGCAGAGCTGAAATGAACAACAGGCAGGCTGAGATAAGCTATACACTGGGAGTGTCTGATGCTGGTGAAATGTTCTATGCGCTAAGCTTAGGCCTGACAACTCTTTCATCTCAGGCTGATGCTGCAGTCAAAGCTGCCCTACTTTCTAATGGGGGGATCATAAACTCTTGTTCCCTGGTGCATATGTATGTGCTGGCATGCACATGTATGTATATGCATTGTTTGTGCGCTTTTGTATTTTGGTGTTATTGTTGTGTATCAGATTGCAGTCAGAGTGCTTGTGGTGACAGGGAAATGAGACATTGTGCCTCAATGCGCTGCGGGTGAATCAAAGGAATCTAGCAGTCATCCATCCAACGTGACAGTGATACAATATGAGACAGTGGCAGACATAAAAAGTCACACACACACACATACACACGCACACTAGCACAACTGTGTGCATGCACACATACACAAACAATGTAAGGGAGTTATTTTTTGATCAAAGTGAGGTGAAGAGTTTTTCCTTTCATCACGTAACTTTGGTGTTTCAAAGGCCGGAGAAACTAAGATTCCTGGAGTCTCAGTTGAGAGGCAACCTAACAGCAGCTAAATCCTGCTCTTTTGTAATCCTCCCACCCCTACTTCAAAGAAGTTTGTTCCTCTCCTCTCTGTTCGCCCGCCTCCTACATCAACCCCTCTCTTCAATTCCCAGAGGTCCCCCCTTTTGCCTCCACTCCTCATGTCCAGATTTCTCTAACAAAGTGGAAAGGAGCTGCCAGTTTATTCGGACTTGGTGCTAGTGTTTCTGTGCACACCCACATGCTGACACACAGACACACACCAAACACACTTCCACACACCAAACACAGTTCCACAGTTCCACACAAACACACACACACACACACAGACACACATAAACAGAGAGGGTGCTTACCGATGGTGCAGTGCTCCCCGTTCCAGCCCTGGTGACACTGGCACTTTCCGTCCTTGCAGGTCCCATGTTTGATGCAGAGCGGGTTGCACACGCGCTGGTCACAGCCGGCGCCAGTCCAGCCCTCCTCACAGCGACATGCGCCACCCATGCACACTCCATGAGTCCCACAGTCAACGGAACAAACCTCTGAAGGAAGTGAGAACAAACAGGGTCACAAACAACATTTCTGGACTTGAAGGTTGATGTGTCTTGTAGGTTTATAAAAGCTACTGCAGTGCCCGTTCTAAACCTGCCTGTTTTGATTGGGCTGTTTGGTCTTTTTTAATGCTCAGGAGATACTTTTGAATTATTCCTACAGTTCTACAACATGATGTAACTTTTGTGTGCTGGTACAAACTTTGTTTATCCTTCCTGGTTTATCTGCAATGAATAGTTTATAGTCAATCTTTTTAATAAAACATTGAACGATTTAATATGAACAATGCTAATAATAATGCTACTAATACTCAAAATAATGCAAATAATAACTATATTTGTAAAACACTTTGCAACACAAAGTACAAAATGCTGCACAATAAAAAAACATGGTTGAAATACAGGAGGAAGTACACAAGTGATAGTGGTAATAATATAAATAATAGAACAATAACAACTGAGCAACTAAAGCAAATTCAGGAATATGCCTCCCAAAAAAGTATTTCTTTGTAGTAAGCACTGACTTGCTGGTCAAAGGACGCCTTGATGAGTTTTACTGGATATCTGGGCTACATATATTTGCTGAATCAAAAGGAAATGACAATATTTCAAAGTTAAGCAGGCTCTGACTAGATGTTGAAATATAGTCACTGAATTGCCACTTAAAAATAGTGATGTCTTACTAAACGTCTAAAAACGTTCACTCTTTAAATTTAATTCATTTTCACTTTTAGTCTGCGAATCAAGTGATTGATTTCATCCCATGTGACAGTGAACCTATTATCCTGGCAAGTGTGAAAAAGGAAAAGAAGAGAATAATCAAACCCACCAAACTACATTAAATACAATCCTCCACCATGCACCTTTAGTTGAAATCAGTGACAGAAGTTTTGCAACAGCAGGTTTTTTTTTTTTCCATTACATTCACTGGGATTTTTAGATATTGCAGACGGCGATACATGTGGTGAGATGTGACAATTGTGCTCGTGTGCGCAGGACACCCCGGTGTGCGGTGAACGTACTATGTACAGATGTTTTGATACACACTTGCCGAGGTATCCTGCAGAGAGGAACAATGTTTTCTTTATTAAAGCCAAGCGTCGCTTCTCTCGTAACAAATGCCGGAGCTCTGTTTGTGATCCTGAGATGGGAAAGCGTCTCGCCTGGCGCGGTAGAGGTTGCGGTCTCTCTTACAGAGATGGCTTTATTTTATTGAGATGAAAAACTGTGGAAGTTGAGTATTTTTTATTACAAAAGGCTTTTAAACATGGATCCAGTTCCTTTTACAACCACTATCTTGCTTCTTTTTTTAACTTCATCCACGGGCGAAGACAAGCATTATGAATCTCAAAGCGCATAAATTGACTCCAGACTCCAATTGTCCTTTTGTCTCCCACATCCACACTTTAATACCTTCACTGGATGATTGTAAGAGTCAATATCCACAATGCTAACACTCCTCCAACATATATGTTGTCATTTAAGATCTCTATCCCTCCTATGCATTCGCTCCCAATGCAATACTGAATCAACTTCAATGTTCTGATAATAATAATCTATAAAGCCCATAATAGTCTGGCCCCCTGGTACATTTCTTACATGCTCACAGCCTGCAGACCAATTAGACCTTTCAGGTTATTATGCAATGGTCTTTCAACTGTTCCTACAAGTTCCACATATAGGGAGGAGGCATTTACTGGAACTATCTAATGACCTAATATCTGGCACCATTATAACTTTCCTCTGTTTTCTTAAGCTTAAGATTAGTTGTTCTCTGCGTGAGTGTGTGGATCTGAGTTTGTGGTTTGTTTTCTTACAGTGGGCTGGATGCGTTGGTTTCTCCTGTGTTTTTGTGGGTGGTTCGCTTCATTTTTCTTCTTTGTTTGTTATCGTGGCAGCAGCATCTTGTACCTTTTATTATACTGAGTTTGCTGTTATGTAAAGCCCATTGAAATGAAAATGAAATGTGCCAAAAAGTGCCTTTCTTTGGCCATTTGGTTCCTGATAAGCATAAAAGCCTGCCATAAAGATACTGCTACTGTTAGATAATTTAATATCTTCTTCACTGTACAAAAAACAAGTTGACACATTTTATTCATGCTTATTCTAAGTAAGTTTGTAGATTTGTCAACTTCATACAAGCCCAGTCTGAAAACTAAAGCAGTGTGAAATAAAACACTTCCATAGGGACCACATAATATGGCAGACCATCAGCTAAAGGCTGACCATCAGCTGTAAAGTCGTACTTACCCATGGAGCAGTCAGGTCCCATCCAGTTGGGGTCACAGCTGCACAGCCCAGTGTCTGGTATGAAGGCCCCGTGGCCGTGGCACTGGTCTGGGCACTGGGCCCTGGGCAACTCGCAGTGCAGCCCTCCCCATCCTGGCTTACAGTGGCACTCCCCGTTCACACAGATGCCGTTGTTGGAACACGTCGGATCCAAGCAATCGACTGCATTAAACCAGGAACGCACCAAGAAAACACAGTGGAGAAAAACAAAAATGAACAAAGACAAAGCCAGAGCTGACATTAGAAGCTAATTCAATACCAGTTTTGCTTCTTTTATAAATAAAGAACGAGATGTGACAGAGGACATATTTTCATTCTTTGTGTAGACAAAAAGATAATGAAATGAAAGAAAACATTACCGGACATTACTGAGGCAATTAAAGCGCATTATAATGAATAGCTCTTGCGTCTAATTGAGGCATGTGTTCCACTGTGAAAGAGGAGAGAGCCTCGCTGACACATTATACGGTGTGTGAGTGGCCTGCCTCTGTGCACGGGTGTGTGTACATTTGTGCTTATGTGCTAATACATGGGGGAGAATGTGACACTGTCAGTCTGCCAGGTTGACAGGCAGCTCTGAGTCCGAGCAGTGAGCGAAAACCAATTTGACAAATTACCTCTTCCTTGCAAAGTGCCCACCCACCCCTCCTCATGCCTCCTGTCATTGCTCTGTCCCGCTCTATCTCCCTCTCTCTCACCTTGTCCTCCACTCCCCCCTCTTCCCTCTCAGACATGACTGACCCCGCTGCACCTTTTTGGACACAAGCGTTCATAAAAAGCACACACTCGCACCTAACCCCGACCCTCCATTTCTGTTTGCCTGGCAGAAACGGCAGATCACAGCTATCGATTTTCATGTCGCTGGCACTCCAGGTAAATTGTTTGAGGGACTCGGCTGTGATGAATATCAGATTTGAGACCAGAGGAGGAGGGAGGGGGAAAAAATTGGATGAGAGGGGGGAGAGGGAGAGAGAGAGAAAAAAAAGAAGAGCAGGAGAGAAAATGCTGACCTTGTTCTCCGGCCCTGAGTCTTCACTTCCTTCTGTCACTCTGATACTTTTTTCCTCTTTTCTCTTTCATCACCCCTGACTCTCTTTTCACTCTTTCTTCATACATATTCACCCCCTGACCCCCGACCTCCCTTCCCCACCTCTCTCTTTCTCTCTCGCTTTCCATTTTTTTGAAGGGAATTTGGCTGGCTGATCCTTCTTAACAAGGATCAATAGAAGCGATTTCATCCCTTAATAAATTCTCTGATGTGTTTGGCTGTGTCATCATACTTCATCTGAGCATACGGAGGAAACGGCAGGCACTCACTCAGAGTGAGATTATGCTGTGATGACCTGTCTGATGGGAGTTAGAAGGACGTGTGTGTTTGTATCTGTGATTGTGTGATTGTGTGTGTGTGTGTGTTTGTTGTACTGAAAACAAATAATCACTCGGACAGGCTGAAAGAGAAAAAACGACTGACACATTAAACCATCACACATCCTTGGGGATCACCACACCATTAACTCTTCTGCTCTCACCCTCTGCACAGTTCTGCCCTTTGTAGCCAATGGAGCACACGCAGTTGCCGTCGGTGCAGGTGCCGTGGCCGCTGCAAAGAGGGTCGATGCACTGCGTGATGGGGACGTCACACTCGGGCCCCTTCCAGCCACTGTAACACACACAGGAGCCCTTGTCGTATTGGCCGTTGCCGCTGCAGAGCACCGGGCACGCCGCTGGAGGAAATAGGGAAAGAGAGAGAAAAAAAGGAAAAACCATTAACAAGCTTTTTAGAGATTTTCTAAACTGTAAAAAGCCAAGGTGCCCACCCACACACATGCTGACCTGCCTAACACTTTACCATTCAGGTGGGTGAATAGAGTGGTTAGGGTCTGGCGAGTGGCAATGACACGGAGAGTAATTACAGGCAAGGGTAACTAAACTATTCATCAAAGCTGTCTATCCCAGGTGAGCCAAGGAGGCGTTAGCTCGGGGAGCTGCCATTCATCATCACTCATCTTGTCTCAGCTCCACCTTAGGCCATGCACCGTCTCACCGCTCTTAATCCTCCTATACTTTCCGCACAGAGCCGAAACGTACCTGCCTGTCTAATTAGACAAGAAAGAAACTACGCCGACTTTTCCGGAGGAAGGAACTCATACCTTTGGAGCAATCCATGCCGTGGAATCCTGGGAAGCAGTGACACACACCAGAATTACACTCTCCGTTGCCATGGCAATTGCGCGGGCACTCCTGCACCGAATCTGTGAGAAAGACAGAGAGAGAGAGAGAGAGAGAGAGAGAGAGGGGGAGCGTTCGATTAAATCATTGGCACCATTCATTCTTTAAGATGCTACAAATTGTGTCAGGGCGCTCCGAGTCTCACAGTGACAAAGACATCAAAGGCAAATGCCCTCCTTCAAGATTCCATGCGTTTCTTTTCAGTGCATTTTTCATAGTGTGTGGAGAATGCGTTTTGAATCAGCCATTTCCTTCAGACGGTATCATCGCATATCTAACATTTCTCTGCACGCTGTGTCAGAAAATAGGAGTCTAGCCCCCTGCTTTACACCAACACCCTGCAACCCTGCTGCTCCTCCACTCTACATTCTTACTTTAGTTGTTTACGCCTGAATCTGGTCCCACTGAGGTTATTAATACTTCATACACATGTGGTTGTTGGCAGAACTTGGCAGATTTCAGCTGGAGTGCGTTTCTGCTTGCATGACCTCAGTGCAAACAGTTTGGTGGAAAGAAACAGGGTCAATGCCAGTGGTGATGACACATTTTTGATTTTGAACTTTCCTCTTTTCCCAGCTTCCACTCTTCTCCACATTATTACTCAGCCTATCCACATTGCCTTCCTCTCCTCACGCTTCCCTCCCCTGATTCGCTGTCCTCAGCCATTTCCCTCCCGAATCTCATCCCCCTCGTCTCTCCCTCTTACCCTAATGTATCCCCTCTCTTTCACTCCCCTCTTCAGCTCCTCGTCCTTCACTCCACTTCACTTCATTCTGGCTTTACACCCCCCTCCGCCATTATTTTCTTCCTTCCTGCTCCCTCCTTGACTACTCACTCTAATTCCGCCCTCGCAGCCTCTGCCCCTCCTTCTTTAGCACTACTCCTACTGAAACCTCTACTGCCAGATATTGACATTGAAGGATTCTTTCAATCTACTTGACTCCTTCTATCCATCCCCCCACTTGTTCTCACATTTGTGTCTCCAGCACAATCAAAATTATTTGCGCCGCTGTTCTGGGATCATAAATGCATCCTGTTTGCAGGGTCGTTGCAGCATTTATATTTGGATAAGTTCTGGTTGTAGATGTGGTGCAGAAGGATCCTCTTCACACGTGCACTTACACCATGGAAGTGATTCTAAACTCTCTGATATAAAAAGCTGTGTTTTGTTTTTGACTGCACTTTCTCCACTTGTCCTGCTACGTTTTTGGCAAACACAGATTGTTAAACTCACTATGCGGTCCTGCCTGCTTGACAATGTTACTATAGTTGTGTGGCGAGTGGCAACATTGTACACATGCTGCTTGTGTGATTTTCACCCAATGAATGTGCAAAGTCTTTGTTAAATTGAGGGAAAAAAAATCTTTGACGTAAATGTGACTACGTTCCTTTTAAAGGGGAAAGCACCTAATTAATGTATTAAAGCCTCTATACAGGTCTTAGTCAATAATGCAAATGTGAGCTATAGAAGTCACAGTGTGGCAGAGGTGGATCCAGGGGCAGGGCCAAGGGGCATTGGTCCCAGATGAAATCTGATTGACCCCTGAAGTGCATCTATCCTGTTAGTATTTTTTTATTAATAAGCTTTCTAAAATTACAATATTGTGTGGCTTTGCTCTAACCTAACACTACACAAGGAATAACTTAAAAGTGCTTCTTACTGAATTGGAACATTTGTGTTGATGTTGGACATATAATTGGCCCCTCTGTGTATATTGTGGGCCCTCTATGGCCCCTGACTTAGAAAAATCATAGACTTTTTAAGACCATATTGGATGAGATTTAAGATCTATGTCAAGAATGACAGATATGAAGGAATATCCAAATCCCAGAATTACTTATTGAACACAAGGTGAAGTAGCCTTGCAGAGAATAACCCTTGAAATGCCACATGAACAGAAGGTATCCATAGACTTTCCAACAGTCAAAGTGAGTGTCATTATCATTTGCATGTTTGTAGTTATATTACAGTGTGCTTATATTTGTATCATAGAGAAAGAACTACAACACATGGAGACATTACATATATGTGTATTGCTAAAACATTTCTCCTAAAATGATTATTATTAAGACCTTGAACATAATCTAAAGACTTTTTAAGGCACAAAATTTAGATGATAGATTTTAAGATTAATTTCGATTTTTAAAGATGTAAACCAGCGTAAACCCTGTATGTAGATGCTATTTTGAAATAGTGGTGTGGTGAAAAGTTTGGTCTTCCCAAACTTTCCATCTTCGAAACTGTGGTGTTTAATCACCAGCCTGCCTCTCTTTTCTTTCACCTCACAGTTTTTGCCTCTGCCTCACCCATGATGTTTGTGCTGAAGGAGACCATCTCTCTTTCCCGGCCATCGTTGTAGAAGGCCAGGTGCCAGGCGCCTGCATCCAGGTACTGGACAAACACTGCCTCATTAAGGACCACGGTTTGGATGCTCCTCCTCTCCCGCGGAGACTCCACCACGCTCCACTTCTCCTTCCCGTCCAGCCGCTCCATGTAGTCATACTGATGGAGAAAGAGTGAGAGAAAGTTGAACGAGAGTGCGAGTATAAAATGTATGATTCATTGATGAAGTGCGGTGCTGGCACTTCTTCACACTGTGAAAAATGACCCACAGTTGTATGTACAGGAAGATTAAAAGATGGAGGGAAGGAAGTGTGGCTGGAAACTGCCGGGGAAGCATGAAGAATGCAACAGACAGAACCTCTCGACTCAGACAGTCATTCTTTGAAGACACATTCAGGCGTGTTTCTGCTGCAGCGCTACAGCCTCAGCTTCCTGCTCTTTACCAGCTCAGGTCAGGCAGTGAAACAGTTATCTGTGTGCAATTATCTGCTGTTAATTGAGTAGTTTCAAATTAATAAGAGGCACTAAAACTTACATTGGTGTGAAATTAAATTAAGTATAAATCTTAGCCTGGATTTGCTTTATTCAAACATTTTTACAATGAATCACAAGTGGATTTTAGGACGTTTGTTAAAATGAATTCTCCATTTTGTAGAGAATTCTCCATGATTAAAAAGATAATTCTGTGGGAGGATTATTCTCCTGACTTTCATTTGCCAGATTTTACCTGTGCATGTGAGGGAGGCAGGCCCTTGCGAATGTACACTCCGAACAGGGCGTCCTTGCCCAAGGATATGTTGAACTTGAGGAACTGGGGTTGGCTGAGGTGCAGCAGTGACCTCCAGAACACCCCCGGAGGTACCTCTTGAGTCACCCGCCTCCCGACATCAATGTTGCCCGTGTCTATGCTGCTGTTTCTGCCTGCCCACGGACCTGGAACGAAGGGAAAAGAAACTGTATAATCTGTGATTATATGCATTGATTGTCAGAGTCAATAGTTAATCATCACAGTTTACTGGGAATAATTTGCTATAAAAATTCATGGTCATTGAATAGTAGGGGGACGAGCGCCATTAGCTCTGCAAACTGTGTGCCCACAGTTTGTGTTAAAGCGAGTGCTGTTACACGACGGCAGGATGCAAAATGATGCCTTTTGCTGAGAAGCCTGCAAGACTGTGGACTTTGTTGTCTGCGATAAAAATGAGCGGGCTGATGGAGCTGCAGGGGAAGAGCTTTCCAAGCAGCGAAGCAAACAGGCACGCACGCAGAAAAACACAGCATCCTGCAATCAGGTCAGTCATCTAACAGCAGAGACTTTGGGGGCCCGGTCGGAAAAAGACTGAGTGTGAGCAAGCGAGCGCGTGTATGTGTGTTTGCAGAGAGTGGTGAAGAAATGAAAGTAACAATGAGAAGAACAACGGCAGCATCTGGCCCAGACGGCTGGGGAACACAATACAACAGTCCTCTCATTAATACAGAATACAGACACAAAGCAGCAGCCCACATGTATCTATAGTACGTGCTGTGTGTGTTACAGAGCGAGATCGAGCGAGTGGAAGAAGAATAGATAGAAAACCGCATGGGGGCCTTAAGAGAGAGAGAGAGAGAGACTGGGGGGGCAGTTGGTGTTTTACCTTGTTGCTGACTGAGACGATAAACCTAGCCTGACACAACTCAGCGGAGTGGTTACACAGCGCGTACCGATAGCACAGCCAGTACCTTACCATGAATTATGAAGATATTTTAGTTGGTGTGAGTGTTTGGGTGTATAAATAAATCTTTTGGACTGCTTTGGTACGTTGTTGCACAGCAGAAACAACATTTTAAAGGCCTTAAAGGGAAATCGCTGGCAATCTCCATTATTTTTTTTTGCTTTCAACAAACCCAGCAATGTGTTTTCACATTCAATACTTTCTGATTCTCCAGTCTGCGCCACTGAGGCCTCCAGCCAGTTTGTTCCTACTAAACACATAAATCTTTAAAATGGGGTCAGAAACGTGTAGGTTTATTTCAGAAGTAAATAGTACATTTGTTGTAGACTATTTTCAGCTGTGGATTAATACACATTTTGGCATGCTAGTGAGTGTTTACAACACCAGGGTGGTAGTATCTGTGGGTGTCTCATGATAAACCACAGCGGCTCTGCTTATTGTAATGAAGGAGCATGTTACCCTCTGCAGAGTGTGGCTCATTAATGTGGAAGAACTATGAAGCTCCGGCACAGAGAAATAAATAATATTTTTTTTGCTGCATAGAAGATAGTTAATTATCTCAACATGGGGGTGTTTGTGCTGTAGGTCATACCTCTGCCTCCAGAGGGCAGCGTGGCCACATCGCTGTTGACAGGCAGGCCAGTGCCCAGTCCGTTGTTTAACACAGGGCCGTCGGATGGCTTCAGCTGCCATGTCAAACCCAGAAAGTTGATCGCTGCACACAAAGGGATGGAGAGAAAAAAGAGAGAGAAGGGAAGGGAGGGAGTGAGAGGACATATGACTTGAATGGTGGATTTATTACAGGTCCAGGATTAAAAATAAAGCCGCACCACAGAAATACAGCAGGTCGACCCCTGTAAGTCTGATCTGTCATTTATACGGCAACCAGTGCCGCTTTTATATAACGCTGCTTTTACACTTTATCAATCATACACACTGAAGTGAAGTGTCAGGTAGCCTGCAGCCCAAAAAACGGAGGCAAGCGTTGCACAGATGACAATTAAAAACGACAAGAGAACAAATCATTGTCTCCCTCCCTTTTGCCTCAACCTCTCACAATCCTCTTTCAACCTGACAGTGTCTCCTGCTTTCACTCGGAGGCCTTTACACCAACTCGCGGAGAGCAAGTGACAGATTGCTCTCTGAAGAGATCGCTCTATGACTTTCCCTTCTCCTCTTCTTTTGTCCTCTGTTGTGTTAGTGTGCTCTGGTGGTATCCGACTGCTGGAGTGCGTTCTCTCCTCACTTTGTCAGCCCTCTGCTCTCGCTGCGTCTCCTGTAACTTCCTTAGCCGGCTGCCAAACGTCTCCTCCCGCTCCCCAAAATAACGGAACAGTAAGAAAGAAGCCCATCCCTTTACAGTAGTTTTTACTCATGGTGACAGATACGCATGTTTTCTTGCACATGAGTGATTTCATTTGTTTCTGTTTGCTCCGTATTAGGACAAAAAAAGTTGTAGAAAGGCCACAGTGCACCTGCAGTGGTAGATGCACGGCTGCATGAATACAGTGATGTGAGCTTTGAGAATACACATGCATTATGTAGGTGTTATTGCTTGCCTCTCAGCATTGGCTGTACCACGCCACATGGGCCCCTAACACCTGCATCTGAAGCCCTGGAATCAATTTCCCTCTCATCAAATTCCATCTCCACTTGCCCAGGGTTTACACACACACACATGCACATACATGCGTGTACACACGCACATACATGCGTGTACACACACACACACACACACACACACACACACACACACACACACACACACACACACACACACACACACACACACACACACACACNACACACACACACACACACTCGGAGAGTGATGAGAGTAAAAGTTGCAGAAGACGTGGGGATGCAGCTTTAGGATTTGCTGCCGGGGCAGACTCATTCTCACCTATCTCTCTCCCACTCTCTTTCTCTGTTTCTGTGTTTCTTCCCTTTTATGCCCCCCCACCACACATCCTCCTCCTCCTCCTCCTCCTCCCCATTGTTGGTCAAAGGAAAGCGCTGACACCTCGACTGCTGCCCAGCCTCCGCTGTCAGCTCTTTTTTATTTTTCATTGGGGTGGGGTGTGTGTGTGTGTGTGTGGGGTGGTTACAGAGACGAAGAGAGGGAGGGAAAGTGAAAAGCAACAGAGACTACAGTGTCCTCCCTCCCCTCTGTCTCTCTTTTTTCTTACATCCACCTCTTGCCCTCTCCTTTTGATGCGCTGACCTTCATCCCTCTCTTTCGTTTTAAATCCCCCCCTCTTTTCTTCCTTCTTTCTTGTCTTATCTCCTTCTGTCCCTCCTTGTAGATAACGCAGACATGCATCCGTGCATCCGTGCACATGTGCCGGCGCACGAACACGCAAAGATGGTATCACACATCGGGGGTGGGGAGGGGTTGGTGGTCGATGAAAAGATTACCTATTGAATCAGGTGGAGACAGTAAGCAATCCTGAGTCTATTGTGACGGCGCTCCCAATCTAGGTCATCCCCAAGAACGCACCAGACACCCTATAGTTGGCTTATTGTGTGTCTGTTCATCGTGTGTGTGTGTGTGTGGGTTGGGGTCGTTGCTCTTGTGTGGTTTTCTGTCCCTATTTCTTTTTTTCCCGTCGGTGGTTGTGAAAGTCTGACCAATAGATGGCACTCTTCCTCCTCTGCGACAGGAGCATAAAACCCAGTTACTTTGTCAACAGGTTTCTTTGCAGCACCGACACAGAATGAGAGAGACAGAGAGAAAAATAAGACAAAGAGAGAAACACTTACAGATGATTCTCTGTACAAGCACCATCCCTCATTTCAACAAAACTTCTAACTTTGTTAGGGTGTAATTTTATCCCAAATGAAACTACTGAAATTGATGTATTTAGCTTTGTGTTGCCATAATTCTAAGCATTTTCTTTTCGGATCATAATTGCTATAATTACTGTTTTCAGGCTGCATGGAAAGGCTTAACGGAATGCCATGCTAGTAAAGCCCATCTGCATCAAACTCATCTGACAGACGACGGAAGAACAGGAGTGGCAGTCGGTGTGTTTTCCTTTTTAATCTGTCGTCTCACTCATGTTCATTTATCACACACGCCCACACACACATAAACACACAAATACACATGTACGCACACACAGAAAGATCACAGAGAAGCAGGTTTAACAAGCAAACGAGTTGGATTAAAAATAGATCAATTGCTTCATGAGGTTTTTATGTAATCTCAATACATAATTCAGAGAGGCAAAGTGCTTGCCAGTATCGTCTGCAAAAGACTGAAACAGCATAGTCGCACGTGATCATGTGACAAAGAATAAGAGAGGAAGGATGGACTGATGGACAGAGGGAGAAGGGAGATGAAAAAAAAAAGGAGGATCGGAGTGGGGGCAATAGCCAGGAGCTCAAGGGGCTTGAGACGAGGGGGAGGGGAGGAACAGAGATAATACTGGAGGACAGCGAGAACTGAGAGAATATTAAAAAACGTATAAAAATCCCTGGAGGATTAAAAAAGAAGAAGAGCAGGGAAAACAGGCTACAGTTGATGTTGCAGAGAAGAGAAGAAGAGATGAATAAGGGCCCCCACGGATGAAATGAGGAAGAGAGGAGGAGAGATTTAAGGGATGAGTGGCCCCGGATTCATTGACGGTGCTGGGTGAGAAAAGATGGCCGTGATTCATGCTGTGACAGTAAGTGGTTTGCAACACAGGCAATCGGACAGAAATACAATGCACATGTGTGTGTTTTGAGAAATATTTATACATCTCAGAGTTAAAGGGTGTAAATGGATTTCTGCATGAGAGACAGAAAGGTGACTTTGTGGCAGACCGTGCACTGAGTGTCCCCTGACTGGAAAATATTGTATCATCATCATTCTGTTCTCTGGAACATATTCCTACTGCCCCCCCCCCCCTCTCTTCCTTCCTCTATGTCCCTATGTCTCTCGCCCTTTTCTGTCTCAACTCAACCTTATCATTGCCTATTTAAATGGCAGCATCTCCCATTGAACCAATTGCACTGCTACTAATTGCACCAAAGGTAGAGAATGGCCCTCTCAAATGTTTTTTTATGTAATCTCATGCGCTTCAACTAAAGCAACACAGAGAACAAGTGTATGCGAACAAAACACACACACACACACACACACACACACACACACACACACGGACAACATGGGCAACACACTTTTCTCTGCCGTCTCCCCTGGCCATCCTGATAAATGCATATTAACTGTTCTAATTCACCACTAAATTAACAACTCTGACCTCAATTAGGGTGGTAATTGTGGCTGAGACCAGCCCCCCAATCCTTGGCCCAGCTGCTAATTGGTTTAGGAAGCCTTTTCCCTGCCGCTCTACCTCCACCCCCCCTTCCTGCTGCCATCTCCAAGGCCCTCATTTAAAAGGCCAGTAAACATTTTGTTGCTCGAAACAAACACATGCATAAAAAGCAGCCACCTGAGAAAAAAAGGGCATCCTTGCCGTGTCTTTCCGAATCTCTTGCACCTTCCGCTCTATCTCAACGGGTGCAGTGCTCATATTGTTGAGACTGAGGGGGAAAAAAAGTGTGCTGCCTCAGGTTTCTCAATATTCAGGCCATTTGGGATATTTCTTAGAATTTATCACACAATATGTACTTATGTAGTCTATAAATAAAGCAGCCTCTCTCTCTCTGCTAAGTTTGAAGGCGCTGCTTGCTGAGATCATTTAGAGTCTCAGACAGAGGGACGGGGGCGGCGGTTGGCTGCTGCCCTTGGGGGTCATATACTCTAAGAGAGACAATTTGTCTGCCTCTGTGTGTGTGTGTCTGCGTTTACATGCTTAAGATTGCATGGTATTAACAACAAGCACGCACGCGGGCGCACGCATCGCAACCCCCGTCGGGACCTCCTCATCCAGCTGATGCAACTGAACTGTAATTGACTGCAACACAAAAGGTTATGCGAGTTGCTCTCGGCTCTGGTACCTGCAAAAAACAGTGTCTTAGGTGGAGAGACACGCCAACTCACTCAATCACGCAGCGAAATGGCTTTCTTATTGGCACTGAAATATTGAGACTGAGACGACGCAGATGTAGCCGTGTGTGTGTGAGCGTGAGTGCGTGTGTGCATGTGTGTGTGTGTGATGGGCTAAATGAAAAGAGATGTGCATCTGAGTGATGTCCTCCTTTCTGAATCCTCATTTCCTCTTCAGATATCTCTACCCTGACCCCCCACCCTTCTTCTCCCTCCCTCCCTCCGCCTTCTCTCCTTCACATCAACCCACTCTACCTCATCTCATCCCCTCCTACCTCGGTCCTTCTCTCTCATCGATCTGTATTAGAAACAGGATATGAGGAACTATGCTATCTTATCGCAGATCAGAGACCGAGAGAGAACGAGTGAGGGTGGGGTGGGAGGCTGGAGAAAGAGTAGCCTACGCTGTGGAGGACAAGAGTCAGAGAGAAAATGAGAGACAGAGAGGAGGAGGTGAGAGGACAGCGATTTCTTTCACTTCACATTCATCCATCTCCTGTTTCAGGACTAGTGAAGCACCATGGGCCTAATTGGACTAACGATTGGGCCCAGATAAGACCTGTGCTAATGAATAAATGAATGAGGAAGTAAATAAATGGAATGAGCCCATGCAGGCTAATGCGGGCAATATGAACCAAGAGTGGTGATGACGTCAGTGAGGCTGCGGATACTGGATGAATGCACTCATCATAGCATGGAATATTAGCTCCTAAGCACGT